TTTTTTTTTACCTTAAACCGCATAAACCCATTTCATTACACCAAATACACAAAATAATGTTCTTTTTAGCAACATCATATGACCCTTTTAATAAAAAGAATGTGATCAATTGATGCACTTTGTTGGATTGCCTTTTGTTGTGCCTATCTCCCTTTAGTCATTGATAAGTTTCTTGCTTTTCAGGGGCCAAATGATCTCAGCTGAGGACTGTGAGTTCATTAAAAAGTTTGAGATTGCCAGGTCTGAGGACAAGCAAGCAGTTCTGACAAAAGAAGGACATCAGGTGGATATTATAATCTTCTAGTATTAGTCTGGCCCCTTCCAACCTGTTTAGTTTAAAAGATGAAATGTACCACATTAATTTAGCATAACCAAGCTAGATCATTGTCTGTGTTTTTATTTTTGGTTAGTTTTTTAGAACCACTGATCTTAGGGGCCCTTTTATATAAATTAAAGCTTTGTGAAAATGACTAGGCTCACATAGGCTTGCTTGTTGTTGTATTTATATTTAAGTCTGTACATTTAACTAAGTCTTCAAACATATTTTATTGTAGTGTGCAAAGACCTTCCTCAACCTTATGGCTCATATATCTAAAGAGCAAACTGTTCAGTACATCCTGACCCTGATTGATGACACGCTGCAGGTAAAAACACGCACCATTTCAGGGACATAAAAAGTCAAACTCTAATGTCTGTTTTCTTTGGAGTGTTCATTTACAATAAACTGACCCTGTATTATCTCACATGAAAGGTGTAGAGTGTATTGAAATAAAATGAAAGTGAAGAGAGGCTGCAGAAGACGTTCTGCTTAATATCTATATAATATAATATATAATATAATATAAGCAGCTCCGGGCGGATGACGTATGAGGTCAGTGTTGCACATGCACCGGTGAGTCTCGTGAAAACCACCGTTTGTTAACAGGAGCAAAGGAAGCAAAGTTTCCTTACTTTACCTAGGATGCCTCGGGGGTGAGTAAAACACAGCCTAATTTTCATTTTTGGGTGAACTAACCCTTTAAGGACTTTTAAAATTGTGTTTTTTAGGCCTGATAAAGTAATGAATATTTCTATAATTAATATACTTTGTTTTACTATAAAATATTTAATCACCAGTTATTAATTAATCAACCAGTTATTAGATTTGTGTAGAGTAAATTTTCTTGAAAGCCATAGGGGTGTCCAATTGGGTTATTTGGGATGTTTAATTTTAGGTTGAATGTCTCAGATGGATGTGGAGCAACAGTTGCCATTACTTATCACAATTAAGGCTGTTAATTGTCCTTTGGCCTTTTGCTACTTTTATTCAGAGGAAAACAGAGAGAGGACACGAAATGATGTGGAGAGAGACTGAGAGCAGGATTGGGAAATGTTATGAGCTCTATACAAACTCTGTTTGTCTGCATGGCCACAGCTCATTGTGCCCAGACAAGGCACACTAGGCCACAGCCCCTTCAAGGCATTGCATATATTCCTATATTTAAGCATCTGTATGAAAGCCACGTTTAACAGAAATGCATTTTTCAAGCACTGATGCGACATTTCTCTTCTTTCCTTCAGGCTGCGATAATTTTCATTTTTGGGTGAACTAACCCTTTAAGGACTTTTAAAATTGTGTTTTTTAGGCCTGATAAAGTAATGAATATTTCTATAATTAATATACTTTGTTTTACTATAAAATATTTAATCACCAGTTATTAATTAATCAACCAGTTATTAGATTTGTGTAGAGTAAATTTTCTTGAAAGCCATAGGGGTGTCCAATTGGGTTCAGAGTCGATTATTTTCACTGAATCATTTGAATTGGTTCACAAATTTCTCTGAATGATTAATTACCAAACTGATCAGAATTTGAATGGTTGATTTATGTTATATATGAAACGTAATTGGAAAGGTCATTGAAATGTCATGGAAAATTGCTAACAAAACAGGAAAACAGCCTAATTAAAGCAAATGGGGTAAGAAATTCAGAACATTTTTCAATATATAATATGAAACAATATTGTAATTGTATATTTACGGTATTGAAAAATACAAGCATTTTCACTAGTTGACTCATACTTTTGGAGCCCAGCTTGTGTGTCAAACACTTTGCAGCACCTGCACAGGAATGAGTGAATTTGTATGTACTGTCACTCCTCCTATCCTACATGTACACAGTAGGGGGTCAAGATCTGCAGAGGCAGCCATGTCAGGCCACTACTGCAGCAGAGTGCTTTATATAAAGGGCACAATAAGAAAAATAAACCGAGAAGTGCCTAGAGCACGCTTTGATCCTGGATCCTCCTGACTCTGAATGAGCTGTGAACTGTGAGCTCTGCTGCAGCAGACCAGCCACAGATACAGATTAAGAGAATCACTCAGGGCGCAGTGGTGCTAAGTGCATTGGGTTGAGTCATTTATAACCAGCACATGGGAACCAGGGGTCAACCTTACTTGTCGTAGTACCAACTTTTTTGTAACAAAAAAACTGATGTGCCGGTTCAGCATGGTATTGTAGATGGTATTGTATTGGTATGGTATTGTATTTTTTTTTTGTGTTACTTGCTTGGGAGAACTGGTGAAACAGCATCTTGAATTATGTTTTTGTCTCGGTTTCTTTTGTTTTATGCCCCATAATACGTCTTTGGTGTAGATATGCATGATATATTTATGTCGAGCCAAGCCTGTCAGTGTACCAGGCGGGACGTTATAAAGTAGCAAGAGATAAAAGCTCTTTTCCATGTATATCTGAGTTTCGTCCTAATCAGTCGCAGCAAAGGGCAGGACGTTTTGTCAGTCGCGTAGTTCCTGTATTTACACTATTGCCTCCTACAGTGAAATCTTACTGGTCTAAAATTTTGCTCCTCACAGCTGTACATTAAACATTAAATATCTTCTAAATGGCTGTGATTGTGTCACATAACAGTTTAGTATTTTAGAGAATGTACTGTGTGGACAGAGAAATTGCTTGTCTCATGTCACACCTGATTAGTACACAGTATGTGTGTGTGTGTGCGCGTGCGTTTGTTGTTTGGGTTTGAATGTATTCTTAATCTTAACCATTTTTGATAAACTTCAAACATATTTTGTGTTGTTTCACAATCCTGAACCGGAATCAATTTACCTCAGAGTGCAAAAATGTGTTATGGACATGTTTGAAGATAGTTTTAATGAACCTCCATTTACATGCAGCACCGATAACAGGACAAGTGTTTTGGTCATATCAGAGATTTGAAGGCTGTGTCAACATTTTAGAATCTTGTTTTCACTCATAGGCATCATTAACGGTGGGACATGTCCCCACCACTTTTTTTAGTTTTTAGATTATTATTTATTTATTTTATTTTTTTTAGATTTTATCCCCACCATCAAAGCTCCAGTTGATCACATTTCAATGCAAACAAATGTGTCCCCACTCCTGATATACACTACCGTTCGAAAGATTTGGATCTTAAGATTTCTTTTTAATGATTTAAAACAAGTATCTTAACCAACGTGTTTTTATATTATTAATAATTCTTAATAATTGTTCTCTATTTGAATATATTTTAAAATGTAACTTATTCCTGTGATGGCAAATCCGAAATTTCAGCTGCCATTACTTTCAGTGTCACATGATCCTTCAGAAATCATTCTAATATGCTGATTTGGTGCTGAAGAAACATGTCTTATTATTATAAATGTTGAAAACAGTTATGCTGCTTAATATTTATGTAGAAATCATTATAATTTCCATTGTAATTTCCACTTTGATGAAAGAAAGTTCAACCGAACAGCATTTATTTGAAATAGAATTTTTTTTAGTAAAAGTCAAGCTGCGTTATTACGGTAATTCTGAGTTGACAACACGTGACATTCTACTCGGACACGAGGATGAGTCTGCGGTAGTCAGGTGGTACAGCACTCATATGGTCCAAGTCAAAACATTCCCAGTTTGCAAGTTGTGATGAGTTCTGCGAGCCATAGATATGCATAATTCAGAGTCCAAGGACTTGGAACAGCTCAGAGTAGAACGTCAACTCAGAATTGCGGTTATTACGACATGGAGTGAATGAAGCTGCAGTCAAAGTTTACCCTAAACTTTTGAACAGTAGTGTACCTCCACTGAAGTACAGATGTCATTTTGGTTTAATAAAAAGAAGTGTGTATACAATGAATTTTTTATGGGGTTCATTCATAGTTCAAAGAAATCAAAGCCATAATTGTGATTTAATCACTGAAAACATCCCTCTTTTGTGTACTACTAACACATTCAATGTTTTCCAATTGCTTTCATTAGAAAATGGCTTTAGAGTATGGTTTTGAGCTTAATGGAAAGACACAGTGATATTCTTCAGGAGGGTGTATAACCTTGAGATAGAGTACTGCATTAGATTGGTTTATTTAATGGCGAAGTGAAAAGAGAGAATAAAAACAGGACTTACAACTTGTATTGACATTTTTTGTATAAAAAAAATGCTGTATAAATAGTTTGTTATACTTCAGTAGATGTGATGAATAAGATGGTTTACATTTGCTTTCAATTAGATGAAACATACTAGAATTTTTATTCTGCTTTTATGAGCTTGTTAAATAAATTATGAATGAATGACATCTAATGAAATGCCTTCAAAATGAATGAAAGATCTTTTGATGCATTACAAAAACGTTATTCAGTTTGTTATATATAAAGTCACTATTTCATACTAGTTGTTTTATTATGACTATCTGAGATCAGCAGTGCTTTGGTCCTCTGCTGATGAGAACTGTTTTTTATTTTTTTCTCCATACAGTGGTCTCTGGCTTTTAGTGAATGCATATACTTACAGATCACGTGATAAAGTCCAGCTTTCATTTTCACTTCCCCTACAAATCACCTTACAGTAATAGGATGTTGCATTTTGCATGCAATTTCATATTTTAGCCCGAGGGCCCTCTGAATCAATGAATGTTGAATATCATAAATAGAAGATCTCTCAAAGCAGTTCATGTTTATTAGACCACTCAGAGTGCACTCCATAAATTTGTTTCATTGTAGCTGTTCATTTTGTTCAATGGCTGTGAATAAACGTTTTTAATGAATCAGAAAAAATGCTGTCTATTCTAAGCTGAAAATGACTATAAATACCAGTTTAATTATGTTGGGCTTTTCATTTTAGATGCCAGTTGCAAAAGTGTTGACTTTAGTGTCTTTACATCCAAATTGTGACTTAGCTCTTGTGACATGCTTAAGCATTTAATTTTGCAGTGCAGATGAGACTGAAATAAATTCAGGGCCACTCTCCCACAGAATTTTAGACTGTTGCCTGTCATGAACAAGCCGTCTCACTCATGCAGGAGTCATATGCCTCCCATCATTGTCCAATAATACCGCTATAGTTCCCTTCAACAAGAGGCCCAAAATCACAGATTTTTTTTCTTTCTATCTTTTTTTTGTTTGTTTTTGTTAGAAACTACATGGTACAGGTGCTGAACCTGGAACAGGGACCATCTCCCCCAGTGAAGTGAGTATGTCACAGATGAAGGAGGTGGATGTGCAACTGTGTGAACTAGCCTCCATCACCTTTCAGAGGCCGAGATCTTCACCCCTCTCTTTTTTGGGATTAGGTCACATGCTGTTTCTTGTCCACTGCTTTTTTTCCCCATTCATATCCACTGTGAATCTTTTCACTTTTTCCTACAGCTGCACTTCTCTAATACAACACTTTTTTTGTCTGTGTCCATCTATAAGCATTTTTACAAAGATTCTTTCCTCTCTTGCCAGTGGCTGTGGTCATAATCCAGTATTTCTGCTGTTTTTTTTTTTTTTAAGATACTAGACTTGATAGATTGAAAGGACCACCTGAAGGCTTTTGTCTTGCACTATAGCAGTATTCCTCTTTCATTTCTTTTTGCGCTTTTTAGAGTTCATTTGAAAAAAAAAAATGTTCCTTTCATCATGTGTCACAAGTCAAAATCTGCTGGTGCAATGCAAGTGGCCACAAATTTTAATTCAATTTCCTCTCATGGCTCTTAAGACGTCTCCACTTTGCTATTCTTCATGAGCTGTCTCCCTGTCTCTTCTATTCTCTGGACCACTCTGCTTTTATGCATATGGTGCTGATCTACAGCATCATCTTCCCCGGTTAATGACTGAGTCTGTTCTCTCCTCTCAGCCACATCTCCTCTAACATCTCTCTATGATTCACTCACTCTGTCCAGGTTTCAAGGCTGCTGCTTTCTCTCTGCTGCATTGTGGGATTGTCTCTTTGATCCAGCATGTTACCTAAAAGGCATTTTTTTAAAAAGTCAGAACCGTATTGCACGTGCATAAGTGAATGCAGAATTACAGAGAGTGTAAATGCTGCTTGAGCAGCCTAGTTTCATAGTGTTCCTTTGCTAGTACCCCGAAAAGGATGGGCTTGTTATTTCACGCATCCATTTCCCTGCTTATCTGAACTGTTCTGTTCTTCGTGTTTCTTTTGTGTTTGTGTGCATGCTAATTTGCGTGTCGTGTGTATTTTTCCTTCTGACCCTCACAGAGCTCCCAGTATGTTCAGTGCGTTGCTGGTTGCCTGCAGCTGATGCTGAGAGTGAATGAATACAGATTCGCCTGGGTGGAGGCTGATGGAGTGAACTGGTAATACTCACTTTCACGCTAATATGTAGGTCATGTTTTGGGTAATATTGCACATAGTAGACAATACCTGCTGTCTTGGTTATGGTTACCTAGAAGTATTTGGGGATTTTATAATTGTGATATCCAGACCTGGAATTAATAATATTTATAACCGTATTGTATTAAATAATATTTTTTTATTAAATATAATGTTTTATATTATAGAAATCTCTTATGCTCGCCAAGGCCGCATTTGTTTGATCAAAAATATAGTTAAAAAATAAAATAAAATAAAAAATACGGTAAAAATTGTAGGAATTGCAGTGTTTGAGTGAAATTTTTTTAAGATGTTTTTAAAAATCTGTAACCAGTTGTCTGGAAAGTTCATAGAAAAGGTATAAAAATTGATTGGTCAAAAAGGAACCTGTACCCTGTAACCTGTAACTAAATTATTATTATTATTATTTTATTTTATAGTTTTTTTTGGAGAGTAGAGCAATTAACAGTGTGCTCTACTCACGCCCCTTTTATGCTGCCCATCCCTTGACGTATTGAAGAACAAAATTTAGAGCTCGACCGATATGGGTTTTTTGGGGGGCCGATACTAGGGAGTAATAAAAGACAGATATCGATATATGTGACCCTGGACCACAAAACCAGTCTTAAGTCGCTGGGGTATATTTGTAGCAGTAGCCAAAAATACATTGTATGGGTCAAAATTATTGATTTTTCTTTTATGCCAAAAATCATTAGGATATTAAGTAAAGATCATGTTCCATGAAGATATTTTGTTATTTCCTTCTGTAAATATATTAAAACTTCATTTTTGATTAGTAATATGCATTGCTAAGAACTTCATTTGGACAACTTTAAAGGTGATTTTCTCAATATTTTGATTTTTTTTGCACCCTCAGATTCCAGATTTTCAAATAGATGTATCTCGGCCAAATATTGTCCTATCCTAACAAACCATACATCAATGGAAAGCTTTCAGATGATGTATAAATCTCAATTTCGAAAAATGTACCCTTATGACTGGTTTTGTAGTCCAGGGTCACATATCGGCCGATATTCTTTATGTGTAGGCTATAGGACAGTATAGTCAAAAGTTTGGAGACACTTCCCATTTGTGTGTCCAAACTTTTGACTGGTACTGTATTTAGAATACAGTATATTGTACATATTGTATACATAACAGAATATGTAAGGGATAATCAACGGTTAGCCGTGCATTAAAGGATTTTAAATGCACGACGTGGAGGCAAAGAAGTGCATACATCCTGCACTTGCCTCCGTGAAAGTGCATTTTAAATCCTTTAATGCACGGCTAGCCGTTGATTATCCCGCTTATTCCATGGTCATTTGCCAAGTTATAGACAAGTTAAAACTAGTATTGCTCTTTGCAGCACAATATTTGACCGAATGGGTAAAAATGACAATTATTCAAATCATACACAGAGATGAAATAGTGCTGTAAGACCACATTTATTTGAATGAATTATAGCATGTATTTCAATTAATTATCGATTGATCGTTTGAGAGAGAGACAGAGAGAGATGACAGTTGCATGTACCTGCGTCTGCGCATCTCTCTGTACAATTACTTCAAAAACAGCGATTTTACCACCTCGTTGCTGAGGAATATAATGTAGCGATCTAGTATCTAGGCTATTTTATTAATGAAAATCACGGGGAAGTGATTGATAACTCAAATGTGGTGATCAAACACTTATAATGATGTGACGAACATAGGCCTATGTAGTGGAGGCAGGGTATTTAAACTTTATTATTCAAAATGAGTCTGACATCAGTGCACTTAACAGGAAACTTCACTTCACTTATTATAAATAACTTAAATAACACAAATAGAACAAAATACAGTATACAGGTGCATCTCAATAAATTAGAATGTCATGGAAAAGTTCATTTATTTCAGTAATTCAACTCAAATTGTGAAACTCGTGTATTAAATAAATTCAATGCACACAGACTGAAGTAGTTTAAGTCTTTGGTTCTTTTAATTGTGATGATTTTGGCTCACATTTAACAAAAACCCACCAATTAACTATCTCAACAAATTAGAATACTTCATAAGACAATAAAAAAAACATTTTTGGTGAATTGTTGGCCTTCTGGAAAGTATGTTAATTTACTGTACATGTACTCAATACTTGGTAGAGGCTCCTTTTGCTTTAATTACCGCCTCAATTCGGCGTGGCATGGAGGGGATCAGTTTGTGGCACTGCTGAGGTGGTATGGAAGCCCAGGTTTCTTTGACAGTGGCCTTCAGCTCATCTACATTTTTTGGTCTCTTGTTTCTCATTTTCCTCTTGACAATACCCCATAGATTCTCTATGGGGTTCAGGTCTGGTGAGTTTGCTGGCCAGTCAAGCACACCAACACCATGGTCATTTAACCAACTTTTGGTGCTTTTGGCAGTGTGGGCAGGTGCCAAATCCTGCTGGAAAATGAAATCAGCATCTTCAAAAAGCTGGTCAGCAGAAGGAAGCATGAAGTGCTCCAAAATTTATTGGTAAACGGGTGCAGTGACGCTGAATGAACATGCAGAACATGCATATTTAATAAGTCTTTTTGCAGTTTAATATTCACAGACACAGTCTATATATATGTACTGATCTGTTTTTTATTTATTCATCAAAAATAAGACAAATTCCATGAAATTCCGCGTTCTACAGTAAATTCCGTTTTTATGACTGGATTACGCAATTCCGTCCATGTTTTCTGCATCGCGGAAATCATAGAGCCTTACTAATGTAGCAAACTAATATGATAAGCTCATTGTGAGAGTGAAAGTCGGGGACATTGTTGTTTATTTACTTAGCATTGAGTCTCTCCAACTAGGTGACTACGTAGTGTTAAATCACCATTCAACAGACTCAAGCCACCACCGCACTGCCGTCTATTGGACTGCAGAAAGATACTAACTTTAGACCAGTAGGGGTCTAAACATTTCATCCACTGTTATTCAGGACGTAGCACTATCTGATCACTTCTGTATTTTCTTTGATATATTGATCTCAGCTACAACTGAATCTAGATCTGTCTCTGTCAGAAAGAGATGCATTAACGAGAACACTAGTGTGCTATTTATGGAGGCTATATCTTTAAAACCAAGCATTTCTGCAGACTCTGTTGATCTTCTCCTTGATTCCTTTAACTCAAAAGTTAAGAATGTTATTGATGATATTGCTCCTGTGAAAGTCAGCAAGAAGACTGGCAGACAAAAATCAGCTTGGAGAAAATCAACAGCAGTACAGAGTATGAAAAGACAATGCAGAAAATCTGAGCGGATGTGGCAGAAGACAAAACTTGAAATTCACTATAGCATCTATAAAGACAACCTTCATGCTTTCAATGTGAGTTTCTTCTCAAACCTTATAAACAGTATCTTAAACAACACTTGCACTCTTTTTGCTACGGTTGAGAGACTGACAAACCCCCCAAGTCAGATTCCCAGTGAAATGCTCTCAGACAGCAAGTTTGCTTCCTTCTTTTATTAATATATTAATCATTAATATCAGGAAGGCGATTAGCACATTCCCAAGTTATGCAGAGGTCAGACAGATTCGACCGCAATATCAAAAAGAAGATACTATGTCTATTTTTGAAGCAATTGATAGCAACATTTTGGAAGAAATAGTGCAGCACCTAAAATTGTCAACCTGCTATCTTGACAATAATAATTGATAATAATATTGGCAAAACGATATATCAGTCAGGCTCTAGAACAAATCTTGTAGAACAAATCTTGTAAAACAAGAAAGCATCTCTCATTGTCCTAGCAGGTTTTAGCCCTGTGATCATAAAAGTTATTTTGTTTGCTAGTGTACAGACAGAGTAAAGACAGGATAATGAGGTTTCTCTGAAGATCATTTTCTTTTTCTTGCCCCTCAAGTAAAATTTCTTTCATGTAATGGTCTCATTATACATCACAAAAATGTGGGCTCTCATTTTCCTCTCATCTCACCCATCAAACCATCAGGTGTAACTTTATGAAGAGCATCCTCTCAGCACACCCTTAGGGGTGAGATGCCCTTCTTTTTACTAACTTCGACTGTTCTGTCTGTGCATCTTTCAGCATCACGGCAGTGTTGAGTAATAAGTGTGGCTTCCAGCTGCAGTATCAGATGATCTTCTGTGTGTGGCTCCTGGCATTCAGCCCGCAACTCTGCGAACAGCTGCGGCGCTACAACGTGGTACCGGCACTCTCCGACATCCTCCAAGAGTCTGTCAAAGAGAAGGTTACTCGCATAATCCTGGCTGCTTTCAGGGTATGTGTCATGAAACGTGTCTGCTTCAAACTGCATTCGTTAGCAACCCAGTCTCCTTTCCTGACTTTATGAATGCAACTGAATTCAGTAGTGACTGTCAAATTTTATTTTTAAAATCAGCCTTATGTGATTGACTCAGCTGCAGTAAACTAATAGGTTATTTCACCCTGAAGCCACCCCTGAATCCTCTCAGATACACACTCCTACTCCATCACTCAGCTGCCTGCTCTCCATTACAGTGAAATCACAGAATAATTTGCAACCAAATATGCCACTGTTACCTGGTTTCAAAAATCTGAGACCACTAGCTAAAATGCTTCTATTATGCTTTTTTCTAAATTAATACAATTTTATAAAAAAAAAATTCAATGAATTCTTTAAGGAATAGTTCACAAAAATGAAAATTTGCTGAAAATGTTCTCACCCTTAGGCCATCAAATTAATCAGAAAAGATTTAGAGAAATTTAGCATTACATCACTTGCTCACCAATAGATCCTTAGCAGTGAATGGGTGCTGTCAGAATGAGAGTTTAAACGGCTAATAAAAATATCACAAATGTCCACAAGTAATCCAAGTGACCCACAAGCTGCATATTTGTAATAAACAAATACATCAGTTCAAGATTTGTTTCTTAAAAACACTCGATGAACTGGAGTCATGTGCATTACTTGTGGATGTTTGTGATGGTTTTATCAGCTGTTTGGAATCTCATTCTGACGACACCCATTCACTGCAGAGGATCCATTGATGAACAAGTGATGTAATGATAAATTTCTCCTAATTTATTCCGATGAAGAAACAAACTCATCTGCATCTTGGATGGCCTGAGGGGCGAGTACATTTTCAAAAAAAAAAAATTTTGGGGCGAACTATTCATTTAATATTTAGTTTTCTTAGTATTTTGTTGTTTTCATTTCTTAGTATTTCATTTTATCCCCACATTTGCTTATTTAATTAGTGACCTAGAAATAGTGCATTTTTTAAAATAAACTACAATGTTTCTTTATTCTAAATGTATTAAAATTCTTTGTTTATTTGCAGGTTGAAATTAGATTTTGAATTACAGTTTCAATGTGGTCTCAGACTTGTCAACCCCACTGAACATCTACTGACGAACAATGCCATTTTAATTG